CTCTTGGTAGCAGGCAAACCCTCACGACCAGCGGATGAAGTCTTCAGTTTTTTCTCAACCGGCATCTCTTGAGTAGGCGGGGAATACCTCTTCACTCCACCTTCATTCATAATATGCTCCACGACAGCAATCGGACAAGCTAATGCATATGCCTTGATCCTCTTCATCTCCTCTCTCAGAAGCAACCTATCTTTCTCCTGGCAAAGAGGACTAAGCAACCAACACTATTCATAGTACTCAGCATGGAAGCTCAACCCATGCTAGTTTTTCCTTCAATTTTTCTCTCAAACTAACAGGCAAGAGGTCTGCATGCCCAGCATTCCAGCAGTCCATAAGACCTACAACCTCCTTATTTCTCTCAATGTCCAGCCTGGCCCACGTTAAGTGTGGGGGCAATTATATGTTATCCAAAGCAAGAGAAAATCTCTACAACTGCTACCCTTTCCTACGAACAACCTAACAGGTGTAGGGGCATTTGTGAAGCCAAAAATAATCAAGAAACTTATGGAGGCGACACGTGGACTTTTGGGTAAAAAAGACAAAATTACCTTTGAGGCACACTGGGATTCCCACACACATGCAACAAACAATAACGGCTTAATCAAGGTCAAAGGTGATCAAAATGGTATTTATTCAAAACCCTGTCATCACTCCTCATCAAATCCTCACCCATAAGGTAACTCCCAATTATTTTTTTCAAATTGGGATTAATTACTAAATTAACTGGAAGATAATATTTGACATAATATATTGCAATTATATTCAAAATACCACCATAAGTGGCCAGTCCCTATTTCTTCAAATAGGCACACCACACCCTTATATATAGCCCCATCTTCACACCAAAATGCAGGCCAAATATTTCTCTAAAATTCCCTAAATACTTTCTCTCTCAAATTCTAACTTTATCATCGGAGATTCTTCGGCCAAAGCTCATTCTCCAATTCATCATGGGTGCGTAAGGCTCTTGGCCTTGATCTTAGATGTTAATTGTTTTGTAGGTGCATTTTCATTAAAGGAGAAGAAGGCGGAAATTTGCATCCACAAGCATAAAACAGAATTTTTTACAGAATTGTGATGGAATGACCACATTGATTTGCGACACCTATTTTCAAAGACCACATTGATGAATTTTCAATTTCAATGACCATTTGATAAAGACTCAATATCAATACAGCAATTTTACACCTATTTTTCCAACATAAACCATTCGACAATTGTACCATAATAATTATTAAAATTTGGAGTGGTGAAACGTCTTGGGATTAGTTCTTGGGGAGGAATAGTGTGATAATCGTTAAATAAAATTGCAATTAAGTCTATGGTTTGAACTTAATTATCATTTAGTACTACAGTTTAATGATATTTATTTTTACATGTAAGTGAGAGGTTTTAGGTTCGATTATTGTCAAATACAGATTTGAACCACATTATTGCTAGCCTATTGTGAGACTAAGTCAAGCCCCCTCCTTATTAGTATATAGATAATATCGTTTGTTTAAAAAAAATTCAAAACTTAATTAGCAAATAATTTATTTTGTCTTTTAGTTTTTGTTGTGTAATAAATCATCAACTATTGAAAACCAAGCTCATAAATTCAAAATGGTACCTTATTGGCAATCATCGCGGACATTAAATAATAATTGAGAAATGCTAAGGGGATTCTCTCAAAAGTAAGACTCTCTGCCACCTTCTGTTTTTTGCACAATTTTTATATATAATATTGGCACAAGAATTAACGTTAAGCTATAATTTGACAATGAGTCCTTTAGTACTAACTTTTTTGTTTTTTGGGAGTTGTGGGTGGGGGAGGAGTTTGTAACTAGTGAGTGTCCTGGCTGATGAGTTCTATGTTTGGCTAAGAGTTTGGGGTGTCTTGGTTCTCTGCAATTGTTTGAACTACCCTAAAATTTCATTCCATGTAAGGCAAAGGCCATCATACCATTTGAAACCCTGACATTGTCGGGAACATGCAATCGATTAGGTTTTGGGAAAAGCACCCGATGACCTACCACACACACACACACAAATATCACATATCATGCATTGACATGGCAAGTCATTCTGTAACATATAAAAATATAAATCCAAGACATGAATACCGATAATTTGATAGAGATCCTACCATGTATATATAATTCTCATCGAACTTTTCCATCGATCAAATTTTTCTTACTTGTTTTTGTTTTTGTACTATTAGCTATCAGCCTATCACGTTTTAGTTAAAAAAAAAAAAAAAAATCAGTCTATTGTGATCGTCCCTCGCATTCAAACAATATTGATATTAATTTTTCTGTTTGGTACAAGTGCATTGATGTGTTGTTTTGTTTATACTCTTTCAGCCAAGGTTTTACTTCAATTAATATGTTCATTATAAATAGATAGATGCATTCGGGTATTTTCCTATTCTTTGTACTATGTTTTGTTGCAGCTTCTCAGTTAACTTGTAGAGATTAATGTAAAAAAGTTTCTGGGGATAGGATTGCATTATTATCATCTTCTAACTCTATAAGCATAGTGTTAATATGGACTAGCTAGAATAGACTACAAAATAACTATGTGAATTAATAACTAACTTTGTTATTATACCTGTGGATGCAAATTTTCTCCTCCTCGGTTTTGGACGATTTTGCACTTACAAAACAACTAGCACCTTAGGTTAAAGCCAAAAGCCTCACGCGCCCACGATGAATGGGGGGGCTTTGGCCGAAAAACCTCCAATGCCAAAATTAGAATTTTAGAGAGAAAGAGTGTTTAGAGTATTTAGGATTTTTTGCAAGAGGATTGGAATGAGTATTTGATGAAAATATGAGCCTATTTATAGGGCTAGGTTAGTCCACTTTAGAGAGGAAGTGGCAAGCCAATTGATGGGTTTTTGGTTGAATTTTTGGTTTAATTAGCCAATTTATTGGCTAATTAAACATGAAAGAAATAAATGGGGGGGGGGGGGGGTTATAGAATTAATTGACTAACTGAATTTGGGTAATAAAGTGGGAAAAGATAAAAAAGGTAAAGAGCAAAGGGGATGGCCGGCCTTTAACTAGCTTTGGGGTTAAAGTGGATGTATTTTGTGGTTAATTGGATGATTAATTGATATTTAATGGATTAATCCATTAATTAACCAATTAACATAATTTTGGAGTAAATATTTTGGAGGTTACCTTGCAAAAGGGGATTTGATGAGATGAATCTTGAATTGTTACCTTTTTTGGAGCATTTTTTCTGCTGCTCGCATGTAGGAATCCCAATGTGTCTCAATGGTAGTTTCGTCATTTTCTACTAAAAATCCACGTGTCACCTTGTGATTATTTTGGCTCCACAATACCAATTGGGTGGAGTGTTGAGACTCGTTTGATAACCATTTAAAAAATTTGTTTTATTTAAAAAAAAAAAAAAAAAGTTGAAAAACATGCAAGATACTTGTCTAAAATCTGTTTAAAAGTTTTTTGCTAACTGGTTTAAGTTTTAAGTTTTCATTTTATTTGGGACTTCAAAAATGAAATTCTTCTTGAGGTCAAATTGCAAAATTGAGGACATATATAGAATGTAAGAGCAGTCAAATAGCATATTTTTGCATTGAAAATTTTAAAGTGAGGATCATTTTTGTATGAATATTATGTTGGTAGTCCTAAGGTAGGTCCGAGGATCTCGAGCTGGGTTTCTGGCTAACAAACTAGTTGAGCAACAAGGTCTAAGCTGGAAGATCCAAGATACCGATTTTAGAGAGTGGAGTACGATGTATAGTTTCAAAACTTCCTCCCTCTCCTTAATGATAATATTTATAAATAAATAAAAAAAGAGAAGGGGTAGGAAAAATAGAGAAGTTGATTTTAGCTAAAATGTGATAACATATTTTTGTGAAAACTCAAGCTAGAATTGTATATTTTCAAATTAAACACTTTAACCAGCATTTCACATAAGCTCAACATGATGAGTCAGATTAGAAAAAACCCAAGAATTATTTAACAATGCCATTTTACATCATGCGTGGGTAGCAATAAATTAGTGTGCTTAATTCGTAGCTGATAGGTGAAGTTTTAGTTCCAAGTCTTCTTCATATATAAATTAGTGGTAGACCAATTAAACCTGTAATTGTGATGCTTTGTATAGCTGATAGATGATGTTTTAGTTCATCTCTCTCTCTCTCTCTCTCTCTCTAGTAATCGTGTGGAATGTTGCAAGTGGTTAGATTGATTGTAAGTGACCTAGGTTGGGTATATGACAACCACATCTTACATCCCTCAAGAGTACTTCTATAGGTACGTTTTCTTAAATAATTAAAACATCAGGAGTAGAATATATATAATCCCAAGATAAGCCCTCAGCTGAACCATTTTACTTTCCCATACATAGTTAAACTTGTTGGAAAATATTATTATTTAGATTTATTTTATTGTTTGGTATTTTGGGCTTAGCCCATTAGTATTAGGGTTTCGTTTCCTTACCTATTAGGGTTATGTTAGTTTTCTATATATATGGTACTTTGTAACTCTATAGAGTCAAGTTAGTCACAATGTAGCCTCTTAGAGTTTTGTAGCCGTTTCGGCATTCTCCTTTATTTAATAATATTCCTATTATTTTGTTAGTTTTATTCGTTGTGCACTCTGATATTCAACTAAACTCAACTAAACCAACTGTTGTGTTGTCACTTGTTAAGTTACAGTTAACCTAACAAGTGTCACAAACCAACAACAATTATATATATTTATAAATCACCAAAAAAATTTAAATAAGGAAGAAAGAACATAGATTCTTAGATGACTCTATCTCTCTCACTCCCTCACTCATGACTCACTGCCCCTTCCTTCTAAAGGGAAAAGAAAGGGACATCAGTAGTCAAACCTCATATATAATTCAGTCATCAACTGCAATTAAACTCTCTGTCTGGTAGGCTAATTTTCCCCTCTGAATCAAGATATTAACGAAAACTATGCTTATTTGATAAATAATTCATCTAGAATATGATGTACTAATAATAAAATAGAAAATTACATGCCAAATACATAAAAATATAAGTTATATAAATTAAGTCACCCGGGGATAACATCATAAATTCATACATTAATTCCATCAAATCTGCCTGGACTGATAATAATCTCAAATTCAAATAGCGTCTCTTCTAATTGTTGTGCCTTTTTCATCTTGTTCTCCAAATCAAAGCTAGGAGTATCCCAATCGAAGTTCCAAATCTAAGTTCTCCTTATTTGAGTCACCAGGCAGACCAATCTCCAAGTCCAACCTAAGAATCGGATGATGAGGATGATCAGCTGCCTTGAAAGTCTTTATGCACCCATGTTTTTCTTCCCCAATGAAACCATCACGTTGACGATCTCCTACTTCACAAAATGATTTTTCACTCTTCTTAACTTTAGTGCCAAGATCCGAGCCTTCGAGGTTTCGAGGGTTATTAAAAATGGTGTCTCCCACAACCCATTTCATATTTTCGCTAGATGGCACCAAAAAAGTAGGTGAAGGAGGAGCTGATGGTGATATCAAAGAGGGTAATGTGCTACTAAATGGTGAAATCAAGGAGGATGGTGAGGTTGGTGATGATGTTGATGAAAAATTAGGGTTAGGGTATGGCACTTTGTTGAGGCTAAGGTTAAGAATAGTGCTAGTGTACTGACCGTCTCTTGGGGGTGAGCCTTTGAGCCTGGCTCGGTCTCTTCGGTGAACATTCATATGCCCACCAAGAGCTTGAGCAGATCTAAATTCTCTCTTGCAGAAGCTACAAGTGTACAACCTTGGGGGCCATGAAAACCCATCAATATTGTAATCTTCTTCTTCATAGGTAGTCTTGCTGCTCCTAATGGTTCTGGTGACAATACCAGCATGATCTTTCAAGCTGTTGCTCACCAAATTCTTTTTCTCCATGCGTATCCTTTGATTAATCGGTCAGACCTAACAAGCTAGCACAAATCATATCAAGTTAAAAAGCATGATGACCAAACAAAATCTCTCAGAAAGTTCGTTCATGGAAAAATAGAGAGAAACTGAAACATAAAAAGAAGAATAAATTAAAGGGAGGTGATTTACCTGAGAAAAAAAAACTGATCATGAAGTACTGGGGTTTGAGTCTCTCAGAGAGAGAGAGAGAGAGAGAGAGAACAGTGATTAAAGTTTTTGTGTGAATAAAAGGCCGTCAAATTTGTAAACGAAAGACTGAAAATCCGATTGGAGGGTACCCCTGAATGTGTCCCATATGTTAGGTCACTACTTACTATACGTCGAACCTCGGTCTGCTAGGGTTATACCTTTTCGCCAAATCTAGCTCTCAGTTTTTGTGGATGCCATTCATTTGTATCCAACTATCATATATATTGGCTTTGTACGTGAGCTTCAGTACATGTCTCATTGTAACTGGCCAGTAGCTGAGAAACTCTAATTATAATAATCGTGTATTAATATATCATTAATTAACGTATTCCCAAGCTTCGATATTTGTGAGCATTAGCTCTAAAGAAATTGCACAATATAATTAGATTGGTAAACTGATCTTTGATCATCAGCTGAACCTTCTAATTATTGGTGAAGTTTAAATTTAGGATAATTCTAGAGAAACCAAATTTTTTAAATCAAATAATGTGTCATCAATAAGAAACAAGTATGTTAATAAATACTTAATTAATAATTCAACCATCTACAACCACATCATTTGATTTGTGAATTTGGTTTAAAAAATTTTGTGTCCTTAACATTACCCTTAAATTTATTATGTTAGGTCATCCTTGCATATATATATCCAGGGAAACTAGGGTAGATGCACTATTTTCCACAAAAGCAAATGTCATATTTCCAGTTATATGTATAAAATTTGTTGAAATGGACGAGTGTACAAGTGTGATCTCATTAATTTCACAAGCATGAATTTTCAGCCAATATTCATCATTAGTCATTTATGAGACTCATTCACTACTTGTTTTATTAAGACGTTTCTTAATTAACTCCCATAATTTGCATCAACTCCCATAATTTGCATGCATGCTTTGTGCGGTTAAGGTATTTCTTTAATGTTATTCATTAGATTAGACGATAGTTTATGGTACCCTCTAAACAAAATATCGGTGCACTTTAATCCAACGATGTGTTTGTAAGTGATTACGTTCATGAAAAATAATATCTTATCTTGATAGTGTAATATGACGTCTATAACATAAAAAACAAGGAAAAAGCAAACCTTACTACAGTAACAGTAATGTTATTCTGTGTTATTATTTACCTTACCATCATTAAGCACATAGGTACTGTACTTCTCCCATAATATGATTCATTCACTAACAATAACTTAAATTTATTGTAGTTCAGATGTTGAATATCAACATCTTGTTATAGCACCGTTATATCTAGAGGTATGGAGCTCAAAAGTGAATAATGATAATAAGTAGCACGGCCGGTCTAGAGATTTTTTAGGATTAGGGCGACGCTAAAAAATGTGTCATCACTTTATATAAGAAAATTATTTGTTTTCACATGTAAGACATCGATAAAATTATACTTTGAAAATCACTTCAAACTTAATAATTAAGAAACACAGAAAAACTAATTTATTTTGTATTGTGAGAAGGAAACAAAAAAAAACTTCTAGTTTACAAGTAGATAGATATGAGTTTATTTTCCATCTGAAATTTTGAAGTGTTTTTGTATAAATCGTGAGCTGTTTTGTCTTATTTACTAACCTTGTCAATATAGGATTAAAAAAATAATGATGTTTTTGAGTCTTTAATTGATATGTAGAAGTAATAAATGGGTACTAAATTAAACTTTTTGATAACATATCATATGATTTGCAAATTTGATCTAAAAATTTGTTCAACGCATTACTCTTTGTTGAAGATTAGACTTGAATTGGAACAAATGTTTAAAAATAACAACCCACATAGCTACTAGCTTCGAACTCAGGGACTCTCGTTAATTTTAAAAAACAAAAACCATTGATTCTAATTAAACTTCTTCATCATTTAGCCAAATTTTATATATTTATACTCTTATGAAAAGAAATTTGTAAAAATTAAAAGGTAAATAATCACAAATAGTGTTTTGAACCCAAGACCTCCTCATTAATTTCAAACAACAAAACCACCAGTTCTAGTTAAACTTTCTTTGTCATTGAACCAAATTTATAAATCATACTCTTATGAAAACATATATAAATATACCACCCTAATAATTTTGGTGCCCCCAATTATTTTGGGCCCCGGACGGTCGCCCTGCTAGCACAGGGCCTGGGCCGGGCCTGATAGGTAGTTTCATGACATCCATTAACAATAACTTATGTCTGTATTGTAACAAGATGTTCATGGTGTAATAATTTGTCACCAGTGTCGTAAACAATATCATTCTATAAGATTACCATTATTATGCTTTGGATAGTAATTAAACTTGAACGATTATAATGTAATTTTATTAAAACAAAGAGTAGTACCCTTTTTCGAAGAGAATTGTAGAATTTCCCAATCATTTAACACATACATACCATACTTATCTTATGAAACGATTCACTAAAAATGTGCGTAAAAAGTGTGGTACCTTTAACATCACTCGTAAATTTAATGGAACATTGTAGTTTCATTCCTTCGTGCTATTTATTTATGCATAATAGCTTGAGAAGAATTTTTAACTTTTTTTCGTAAAAAAACATATATGTAATAATATTCTACACCAAGGGACGGGAAATTTTGGCTAATGTTGACCTACATTGACTGATAAGGAGTGCCATGTCATCATTAATATAGGTGAGATTGTATTAAGATTGCGATGTCATTACTAGTATTGGATAAAATTGGTTAGTTTAGCTCAGAGTGTAAGAGAGGCAGTTATGCTCGTATAAAAGAGTGGATTGAGCTCATTTTGTAACAAATTAACCATTCATGAATGGAATATACAGGATTCTCCTTCTTCTTATCTAAGTTTTCTTCGTGTATATTTTTCTTCTTCCTTGAGATCTTCTACACATTCTGTATAATCTTAGTACTGTCAAGAAGATACACAATTAGTCAATCATAATAATCTTGTATCGAATTCACCTTCAGATGAATCTAGTCTTAAACATCTCATTTACAACTACACAAGAATATCATTAGTTCGTCATATTACTAGTGCCAGATAAAATTTATTTCAATCGGAAAATAAATTAAGGTTCTTTCCACTTCTATATATATTCCACTTCTATATATATACCTTCCATATTTTCTTGAACTCTTGTTTTATTTTCCAATTACGCGCGCATGTTACATTGCATATAGGCTGGCTGATAAGTAGTAGGTCGAGTTGCTAAACTGCTTTATATGTCGTTACCAGATACTTTTAAGTATAATATATATATATATATATATATATATATATATATATATATATATATGTGTGTGTGTGTGTGTGTGTGTGTGTGTGTATTCAAAGATAAGTGAATGCATTGGTTTACACACTCTCAATGTCTCAAAAGAAAAGAAATCTGAGTGTACGCAGATTGCGTCTTTGCATTTTGTGGTAAAAAAGGAGTGAAAGTTTTATCAGAAAACCCACACAGCCAAAAGATCCTACCAAAAATTCAGAGATTTAGTAAAATACCCATTGGCCAATTAGGTGAGTCCATGGAATGCTAAACACGGTTTGTGATTGTTCTAAGGTTCTAGAGCCTGAGTGGCAGGTTTACCCGCAGTGTGCACACTGGTGCCGTCTGTTCCACTCATAGTTTTATTTTTTTCTTGAAACAGTACAAATATATTAATATTTGTACCATGCAAGCAGCATAGCCGATGAAATCTTTGTCTGCTGCAATAACTAATGGGGATTTTGTTATTGATAATTACCATGTTTATGCATTAGGGACAATGAGAAACAGACGAAACGATGACTATAAATATAGAGGCCTATTGGAGCTTAATGATATATTTGTCAGTCATCAAATTACAGGGTTCTCTATTGATTGCTGTCTCATCAAAGTTGAAATCCTTGGACCGGCCTCTCTTGTCTCAATAAAGCCAAGAAAAACCAGGAAAAAGAAAACCTCCCATCACACGATCTCTGTGTGGAGAAATTTTTCATTGTGACTGGAACACAGAAGTATATCACGTGTTTTTATATAAGTGGTGGAAATTTTATTTTTTAAGTTATTAACTTTTTAACACAATATCCCACTATTTGTATAGTGACACGTGGTGTACCATCCCGTGTACCGGTCACACTGAAAAATTTCTCGTGTGTGTGTGTCAAAACTGTGATATATCTAGGAAAATTTGTTAAATAAACAAGAAAATTGATGAACCATGGTTCCCAATTAACACAAGTAAATCATACATTTATTGCTTTAGTTAATTTGAACTTGGTTAAGAATAATTTTCAATTCGGTTGTGCATACTTTTCCGATAACCAACGGAAACCACATTTTACAAAGCTTTTGCGTAAGGTAAAATGGTCGTAAAAGATGAATCATTTTTAATGGAGGCGAGGACGTTTTATAGAAGGGAGGAAAGCCTTTCTATCCTACAATTTAAAGGTGGGATAAACCGGTAAAGAGTGCCTTGTTTTAATTTTTTTTCAGAATGTACTAGTGTTATTATGTTTCGAGAGTTTTCCACATCGAAATATAGAAGTCTAGCGTGATTATTATCTTATGTCAAAAAAAGAAAGTTTGGCAGAAGAGCTTAAAAGATTATGGGCATCTCCACCCGTTGCTAATTGGTTTGGTTTTTTTTTTTTTTTTTTTTGAACAATCGATATTATCTACACTGAGGATGAGGGATGGTGGACTTAGACTCACAATGGGTTAGTAATAATGTAATTCAAATTCACATTTGATGAGAATCGAACCTAAAACCTCTCACTTACAAGTGAAGAGGAATACCTAGACCGTAGTACTAAATGTTTGCTAATTGATTTGGCTTGGATTTTCACATTTTAGCTAGCATGCTATTAGAGCAATTACACCAGTTGGGAAAGGGCAAAGGTAAGGGCAATGGCATTGGTTACCTTTATTAGTCACTTTGAAAAGTAATTGCCTTTGTACAACTCCACTTGTTGGGTAAGAACAAGGATGATCACTAATCAAAAAATAAATTTTTATTTTTAATGCATTATTAAATGTATTACAACCCTAAAAGTTATTTAATAATTTTTGTAAACTCTTTTCAATGAACGTCAAATAAACTGTGAAATTGCAAAGCATTTTTTTGTGCTTTTAGAAATATGTTTTTGAATTTTTTTCTTCTGAATTTTCTTTATTTTTTTCTCATTTT